CCTTTATTCTTTTCTTTACAATAAGGCTTTCAAATAAGTCATGGCTGTACGGCAGTGAAGCATTGGTGTTGAGCACTGATGTCATGCTGTCGTTGATGATGATGATGATAAGAAAGTAAAGTTGTTGTGTCTTTGAATAAAATTCGGGTATTCCGCATGCCTTTTGGAATTAGATTATAGCAACTACCACGTGTGAATTCATCCTTTGGAGGAATCTCACAATCCAGGAATTGAATTCTCAAAACTCTGAAGAGATGGTGGACTCTTCAACTTGAACTTGAATTTCAGGCGATCAGTATCTCCCAAGATCGAATTATTGCTCGCTTCCTTCGGAGTGAGATATATCAAGAGTTAAACTCAAATTGTCCACTCCAACTGACTTTTTACTCTAGGAAATGTCTGACTGCTTGGATTCACGCACACTATATACACTGTATGTACTATGTGCACCATACATCCGTATCAATGAGACTATATACCACGCTCACACACCCATCCTCTGGACAAAAGCTCCCTCAGGTGAATTTTTCTTACTTAAGCATCTTTCGCTTCTACGTACCCGTAGGAAACCTCCGTCTAAAGAACATTGGTTGTTAACTTATCTTGGCAATTGTATTAGCCATAGAACAAATTAGTAGCTCATGAGCAATGCTTTACAGTCTGCGTAACATTTGGTGACGAAAACCAATATGGTTTGTTAATAGCACCATATGATTTTTCGACAAAATTTTGTCCCTCAAAAACGCTACTCCGTGCCAAACAGCCGAGGAGCACACTGTGGCCATCGTTCTTACTGGGAATCATCAGTGGTGGGGTCTTTCGAGGCAGAGGTAACCCGTTCGAGGTTCGGTCTGTATATGGAACAAAATTGAGTATTCGTGCAGCTAATGAAAAAATCATTCGAGTAGTCAACGATTGATGCATGGAAATTTCGTAAAAGACCCGCAAGGTTTAAATTCACCCACTAGCCAACAAAACCACTGCTTTTTTACAGAAATTCCTTGAACAGAATAATTTAGGTCAGCTCTGACTGAAATATGATGCGCAGAGTTGCGCAAAGTTGTAAGCTCTACTGAACTCATTTAGGAATAGCCGAAAAACTTATGAGCTTTTGAGGCGTTAACTCCCACTGCAAACAAGTTTCAACCCATTTTTGCTGCCGAGTGAAACATGAGATGGCCTTTGTGCAACACATCCAGTGAAGAATATCATAAACGATGGATTGAGTTGAGCCCACTTGAAAACCTGTTTGATGTGCAAACAAAACTCTTCTTAATTTGGAGAAAGGCATTTTCCCTGTATGACAACTTCGACAATAAAGCTGATATCCTCCGAGCCAATTTTCTACACTACCGCTTTACCACTCCAAAGACGGGAACAGTTTCGGCCGCATTAGCTCAATTGTTTCCGTGGACAACTTACCCACTTTTGTCCCGGATTTGTCTTCCTTGTCCCTAAATCATCAGCTTCGTTCATAATTACCGGTCTTGCTTGTCCTTGATCAAGCCTCACCTGAGATCAGTCGATAAACTTTTCTGAATACACCATGCACTCGGTCTTCTAAAAACAATCCGCCTTTTTATCCGCTTCTCCAAATCAAACTTTGGGTCCGTTGCAGCTAACGCAGCGAACCTAGCCAATCAATCAGAATTCGGACAGCCAACACCGGTGACCAGCTTATTTCATGCATAGTGGTCTGGACAAAGGTAGAAGTTAGAACCATGCGTAGCAAGCGTCCCATGGTTGAAAGGTAAGCATGGAAACAAATATAATTTAGCTTCTGCAATTTCTCTACCTGTGGCCAGTGGCTTGTCCGAACCTTTGATGTATGAATGAGATCGACGTACACATTCTGGCTTCGTCCCCATCACTATGAATTCTTCTAATATAGAAAAGCCTGTCAAGTTTCTTCACAAACCTCATTGAGTCGAAAATGGCTTACTATACCATTGTAAGTGAGACTGCGCCTTTCCATCTTCAAACGGGTGAAAGCATCCATCAACCCTGCCAAAATTGTCGTGATACTCTTGGTGGGTTCTCATATACCGCTTGGCAAGATCTGTGTATCACAGAAGGATTATTGCGCGGTGAAATGAAATTCCCTGGTGTTTCGTTTAGGAAACCTCTTGCTTAATCTGCTTGATGGTCATCCTATCCTTAATAGCTCCATTAGAGTGGCACCAAATAGCTACGATACGACATCTGGTTTCGACTGCTGGTCACAAAAATTTGGCCCTGTAACAGAAAAAGACTGCATTCTAACAAGACTCGGGGGTTCTCAATTAAACGGAAAACGTTTGAAACCGGTTGAGAAGTCATCCTTTCAGCAGAGCTTGGTGAACAATCGGTTGTAAACGAGCTCTTCTGAAAAGAGTTTTGGGGAGCCTTTTATTATTCTAAATAAATATTTTTTGGAATATCATCTCAAATGCAGGTTATAACACAATGTGGTTCCAGTTTTCCCGCATGCCCCAATGTTATTAGAATATCCAAGACCACAGAAGACGTCTTTAGGGCAAACGGTCTGAAATTTGGTAAGAGAGGTAATTTTGGAAAGACCCGTCCTAGTGTACCCAGCGACCTTTTGGGGACACCCTCATTGAATGTTTCTTATAGCAACTTGTGAACGAAGTTCACTCCCAAAGCGCTCATTATTCTGTGTGGAGTTTGACCCCAATTTTGTGCATTCTGATGTGTAAAGAATGTAACTAGTTGCGCAAGGGTTATATGGGAGACCCGAAAAATTCTTCCTAAATGCGCGAAACGACATTATCCCAACCTCAATTTTTGCAGAAAAGTGACCTTCGAAAATGAAAAATACCAACTCGAGGCCAGAATAACCACAGCAATTCTGTCAGCATTTCCTAACTTCTCATGGCACAAGACGGATAAACAATAAACCATCAGACAAAGCCGACTATGCCAGTCTCCTTATCCATAAAATACCACAGCTATGACAATGATTCCATCGGAAGTGAACACACACGGGATTTTAATTGACAATTCTACCACAAAAAGACTTCATTTTCGAGCACCCTAATTTCCCGAGGATCCCTCAACTTAAAGAAATACGGATGAAAAGGGACTGTTCGGCAGAGAACCGGCGATCGTAGCGAACCTGTGTGTCCACTAAAATGTCCATGTGTCTTGCGTAGCCAGATTACTCTTTTTACATGAGAAAACAAGAACTAAAAATGACGAACGCTACTAGTTAGGTAGCACCCTCGCTATGGCAGCGGGTAGGTGGATGAGAATCAGATTATTCATCCATGGAGGTGAATTATGCCACAAAATAAACTATTTTTCAAGTCTGGACCATACCAAAGAAATTACATAAATCACGCTGAAAAAAAATAGCACACACAGACAGTTGGAAAAGAAACCCACAACCCAAACTTTGAAACAAACTAAAGATTAAGGACCATACTTTGCTCCGAACGATGGAAAAGTAAATGTTGGATAGCGAGTACACATAAGTGCAACAATTTCCGTGAGTACGTCGGCACAACAATTCTTCAGTTAACAAATCCATCGCCAACAACGTTTCACCCACTACTATCGCTACTGGATACACCGCTTCCGTTAGCGAGATGCACAAGCCCCACCTTAAATGTGTCCATGTGGCCGAATTGAGCCTGTTTAAATTACAGGCAGGCGTGGTAGACAAAATACTACCAAGGCGTTCCACTAAAGAACTCATCTGTTGCACAACAAGTGATCCAAAGTACGGTTGGCCAAATCCCGAAGAGGAGAGGCTATCCGCCCCATCAACAGCCCAACATACGCCGCATTATCCCAGATATCCCAAACCTCAGAGTATGTTTTTAATGCTGCCACTCTGTGGGGTATCGATATTTGTACTTGCGGTCAAACCATAAGTTAAAAAGGTTATTACCCTTGAAAAGATGCCTTTTGTAACGCTGGATGGTAGCCATTTGCTTGCCCAAAAGATGTTCAATGCCCTGTGCCAAAATTCAACCCAGCGCCTGGCACTCTTCTCCACACATTTACTTTACCCTACCACAGAAGTGAGCGTGTTCAAATAACTAGCCATTCTGATTGCATATATTTGTAAAATTTACCCTTCAGCGTGCACACTGATAGACCAGACTAAATATTTGCCTCAACGCTTCCAACCTGCTGGCAATGGTCCAGTAAATCTAGCCTTCCCAAAATGGACTACGCAATCGATTTGCTGTCCGCGGATGGGAGGAAGTCTCAAAACTCGCAAACCAATCCATTGGCCCGGTCGCCTTGCGCCAATTTGGGGATTCTCCCTGGGATTTACGCTGCATTTTTCTGGTTCTTCTGCTCCTTCGGTGCTCCTAATTGGGGGTAAATGGTTCTTACCGACAGAACAAAATTCTTGGTATCAGGTGGTTCCTCGTGATCTCCGCTTTCTGATATGGCTTCACCGGGGCACGCAGAAGCCGCGAGTTTCACAGTAAGGCAAGCTTGATTTTCTGCACTCGATCCATGACTTGCTGAGGGGAAAGTCATCCGTTGAGGTGTTATTTTAATTGTGGCATCGACACTACCAGAACCTCATCCGGTGCCACAATGAAGATCTTTAAGGAGGGCGAATATTCATGAATCAGTGGCAGCAAATTAGCGATACTGTATGATATTGCTACGCATGGCCCATTGATTTGCCCCTGTTTTTCGGGCCTGGTTCGTGCACGTCGTTTGCACAGGAGTGAAGAACCCAATGACGTCTGAAACTACGATATGGCTATGCAAACTCAACGGCCGGACTGCGCTGGCTTAACGAGTCTGAATAGCATTTGGATGTCGATTGCGAGATGAGAATGCTTGCCGGTCAACAATCGTTGGCACAAGAAGCCAAGAAGACGCGTTTTCGTGGGTCCAGGGGGACGATCGTAAGGTTGAAAACAAACCATTTAAACGCCGGTCCCATTTGTTGCTTATCTGTTCTCACACTGCTGACAAAGTTGGCCCACGCCAGTGAAAAGAGTGTCAACGTCTGAAGGGTGGGGAAACTGGGCGTTCACGATTAACCTCGGCCAATTTGTTCAGATGTCGTGATTTGTATGCTGGGCACTGACCCTATGAATTGGAGACGCACTTCTGCAAAATTGATAAAGGATTTCCGACCTTTCTCTGCGTACGAAGAAAGAGCCATCTGACCGCATCACCTCCAAGAGTGACGATCAAGCTAACTGGACGAGCTACCTGATTTAGAATGTGCATCTGATTTTGAGGCTGAAGAATATTAGCATTGTCTTGAGTAAAAGCGAGTGATCTACTGCCTGAAAGCAAGGTACTTTGTAATACGTCTTTCTCATAGAGTTCGTCTGTTCATTGGCCAAGTGACCATATGTAATGAATCTGACAAACTGCTTTGGTTTAGATTAGTGAAGCTCGTATCCCTCACCTGCAAGGAAGTTGGGTGTGTGTGATCTGATAATGCACTCGCTATATCTTCCGAGGTGACCCTGATAATCGAATAAACAAGAATATCCCAACAGTCACCGACGTTGATTAAAACGGCCAGATTTTCACCATCACACACACTTCACATTGGGTCCATTTCAGCGGAACTTGTGGTGGGTGATCTTTGTGGGTTTTCGAGCACTTATTCTAAACTTATTCTAAAATGACGTACTTGCTGAACAATTTTTTAAGTGTAACCCAACATACAGTACCCGCAGCAGGCTTCGAAAACTATTACCCGTTGTGTCCACGAGTACGCATTCGGTTCAGTTTCTCTCGGACGACAGTATTGCAAATAATACGGCTCTATCTGCGTGTATCTTTTGGTGAGATGGCTAAAGAAACATTTTCAATCTTCACGTTCTACTTAATTACTTGTAACATGAGTTTGCCAAATGAATCAAAGAGGACGAAAATATACTAGTTTTGTCGAATAGTTCGATTTTGAATTTAACAGCTAACGGGATCCTTCAGATAATTCCTTAGATAAATTCAAGGACTGCAGTGGATGGCTGTCATACAATAGTATATAGTAGCACGCAGCTCGGGCATTCAAACTGCTGGGGAGTAACAGGAATCGGGTCAACCTATTCCTTAGTGTGAACCAACCGTGACCTGTCTGCGTGGAGATGCTCGAAAGCGATTTAAGCAGCATTTTACGTATATTTTACCTGGGTCTGATATGTTACTGAATCATTACAAAATTATAATTTTCGCCCATCCTGGCAGACAACACACCAGAATGCGGATTTGGTATCAGCCTCTACAGTGTTCAAAAGGGGCTGTCGCGTTACACCCATTCAACCATCGCTGTATCAAAAAGAAAGCCCTAGATGTTAAATCAACTGTGAGAAGCCTCCAGAGGGTGCCTGCTTAGGATATTAAGTCATGCTCACCAATGAAAACCATTACTCACCTCACTTTCATCGCCAACACCCGTTTTTCAAGCACAAGTAGGCATCATTTACACCGTGATGCACTAATTCTGGTCCGTGAATTAAGTGTCTTGCACAGTGACATCACTTCGCGTGTCGATGTGACATCACATCTAGCACAAGGCGCACGGCGAATGCGTTGGCGTGTATATGCGACAACCAACCCAAACGAACAGAGGGTAAAGGATACTCAACAAGTGGAGGAAAGTTCGACTGTGATGAGCAGAGCCTTTTATGTGAAGTGGATTGATTGCTGACTTCGCCGGTGATTTTACGTGTATACATGTTTGGTAACCTAGGCAGAGCACCCAGCGTCGGTGACTAAATAATGCACTGAGGGTTGAAGATGCATTTCTTCAATTCCTTGGAGTCCTTGTCAGACAGGAGGGAAATCCCGTTCATTAGATCACGGTCTTTAAGGTGACAGACTTTAGTTATGTGCACCAGGTGTTCGAAAAACCTCCTACGCTGAAAACTGCGGCATACTAGTTATTTAAGCCGTGAAATAACGTCTTGGCTATTGACGATTTTAAGTAGGACAGTCGCTCAAGTGCTTCCTCTGCTGGGTGTGCCGGAGATGACCTTCCGTTCCTCTGGTACCGGTGGAAGGTCCTCTACCGTTAAGTTGCTCTACAGGTATCTGTTATTTGGTGGAAGCAATTTATATTACTTGATGAGGCAAAAGAGATAAGAGGCTATTACCCTCTTGGATGCCCCAGTGTTTTACGAGTTAAGGGCGGCAAATGTTTTTGTATAAATCTACAGCAATTTCTAGAGGCCTACCAGGATTGCAAAAGCAGCCAGCAAGTGTGGCCTTCCGCCGGCGTCAGCTGTCTCCGAACCAAGGCTCTGTATCCCGCGAATATTTTGAGTCTCTGTGATATTTATCATGTGCGCTGCATGCCTGCAGTCTCCAGGAATGCGTGTTGCAATTCCCTTCCCGTACAACCTGAGTACGCGACTTCGTATGCGGAGGCAAAAACGGTGTGTACAAAAATTTATTTATTATGTTCACCAAATATAGCCACATATAAGTAAAGTTAGAGTTTATGGAGGATGGATACCTTGATTTCAGATGTGTGGCGGCATATGTGGATCATGTCCTCTCTCACTCTGGCAAATGAGCTTCAACCGTTTTGCCAATTAGTTAGTTGGCGTTCAAAAAACTTTTTCCACGGGACAATATTTCACCGTAAATGTGGTTTGAAGTAAAGCAGGGGGCACAATAGTCTTAATGGCCAACTCAGGCAGAGCTTCCTCTCCACAGGTCATACAAACTACAAGCTTTTGGTGAATCTAGCTCTAAACCGAAGAAGAGGAATCCTCGGACTTAAAGCCACCTGCATCTTGAGACTGAAAAAATTGCAAAGCACAAATGCCTATTCGGATATTCAGTGAATAACTGATATGTTTCACAATGACCGAGCCGAATCCGTAGCTTCGGTGAAATAAAACACATCGGGATGTGACGGTACCCTAAAGGACAAAGACGAAATTACCCAAAAACCAACATGTAGCTTATTGTAGCGGCTTGTGGGCAAACCTAATTTGTCCCGCGAAATCCAACTGAGGTAGATTCAATTCATCTAAACTTTCACATATTGCACAACTACCGAAATCCACGAACAAAATAAAAAGTAAGTGAAATAGCATATGCTTGAAGGAGTGGGGAAAGAAATATTCGAACTAGCCATTGCATATGGTTGGCTTCAAATTTTCATGATGTTTTGGAGGAAATGGCGAGCAATAATTTAAGATATATTTAGAACGTTTTAGTATAGAGAGAGTCCAGGCTTTCGCTCAAGCTTCCCAGATCATGTTTGTCCTCGTCGTTTAGCGGCTTTCGTTCGCCTGAAAGGTGCAAGATAAAAAGGGTGTAGCACTGCTCGGTAACTTCTCGGCGTGAGACGGTAAGCTCGCCAGTGTGAGATCTCACAAAAAAGGTGCCCAAAATACATCGGATCGGGTTCTAGATGCAGCGCGAACAACCGCCAGAGGAAGGTCATTCCATGCACAACTGCCCAAAATGGGAAAAGTTGTCACCCAGTAACAGTCTGAGCTCCGAGCTTGAAAATCTTTTCACCATGTCCCTGTCGTGTATTAATGGGGTCAACGGTGAAAAGGCTTTCGGCCAAACCCTACTTAAGTGGGGAATATTTAAATACTGGGTCGCCTTGGAGACCACTCCTGCACAGACCACAGGACAAGTTTGAGGAGACCCATGTTCCCAATTCCTTTTTAACGTCTATCCTCATGATGCTTTCTGGTCCTTTCTCGCCAAGCATGAGAAAAGCATTCACTGAGTCCCCTCCAAATAACATATGGATTCATTTTCGTCATTCAGAGAAAGGTGTTAATTCAGCGACTACTGCTTTTCAGCGTTTACATCCATTTGGAGGGCACTAACGTTGGAACTCCAGGATTTCAAGTCGTCGCAAAAGGTAGACGCGGACTTGCAAGAACATTTGGAAGGTCGTTGACGTGGACCAGATAGAGCAGTGGTCCCAGAACGGAGCCCCGAGGAACCCCAGTAGAGACCGGTGCTGGAGATGAGTTGACCGAGATTATTTTCACCCGGAATGATCGGTCTGATAGAAACGCCTTGATCCGGTGAAGGATTTTCCCCTGAATCCCGTAAGACTTGAGTTTGTGGAGCAACGGGACGTGTGGGGCCCTATCAAGCACTTTTGATAAGTCGAAAAACGCAGCATCGAATATTCGTCCGTCATCCTTTGCTTGGTTTAAGCTGTCCATAAACACGAGCATGTTGTCACGCAAGAACGGTTTGGGTGAAATCCATGTTGAGCTGGAGATATCAGGTTGCTAGAAGTAAGATGATCTAGGATAGCTCGCATCCGAATGCGCTCCATCACCTTGCAAGGCACTCTAGTGAAGCTTGTAGGCCTGCAGCTCACTTGCGATAGTCGGTCACCAGTTTTGTAGATTAGTGTGAGAATCGTTTCTTTTCAAGCAGAGGGAAGCCTGCCTTCTTCGAGGGACTGAACGAAAACCAGGTATAAATGATTTACCAGTATAGACGACTTCTCCTTCAGGAATCTTGGATGGACCTGGTCGGGCCCCAATGCGCATAATGGGTTGATCTTGTGCAAGAGTTGACGAATGTCCTCAAACATAAAGACCAAATCGGCTGGAGGCTGTTTGGATTTACGCCTTTACAAGAGTGGGTGTGACGAGGACGCCGGGGCCTAATATATGGACTCGCACGGTGTTCTCTGTAATCTTCAGATACAATTGTTGGGTCACTCGTGGGTTCTTTCTGCGGCGGTCTCATGTATTTGAAAAGTAGATTTCTTTTTTTCCGGGCGAGGTCCAGAATGGTGGCTTGTTTACGTATTTTCCATCGATGGATTTCTTAACTACAGCGGTTTCGCATTTTATGAAATTCCAGCTCATCTTTTGTCTCTTATGGTCAACGTTTTGAAAAGTTGGGGCCTCTTTTCGAGAAGACGCCAAATCGTTTGAGGTAGCCTGCACGACGTCCACCTGCGTGCTAGTATTTTGGGAGGAACATCGCGTCAGCCTCGTGAACTTTCTGTACAATGGTCCTATATAGGTCTCCCAATGAAGCTGGTCCCCGTTTAACTTGTTCAAAAACGAGGCGCTTTCCTGAGAGGTCTGCACGGCAGAAGTTTCAAAACCACGTTTGAGGTTCGGGGTTTCTCGCCCAGATGAAATCAAGGGTCAGCACACAGTGATCGTTATGCCCCAGTGAAGCGTTCATTATTATCTGATCAACAAAGTGTCTTTCGTTAGTGATGACCAAATCCAGGAGCGATGGTAGTTGCCCTGCGCGGTATCTGGTGTGTGCGACGACATGTTGAGTCCAAGCGCTCAGTTGAACAACTTTAATCAGCGCAGCCGCAAAAAGTCCGCTTGATCCTATGCGCTGAAGCTTCATCCAGGAGGTCTTTAGAGCATTCAGTTCATCTACCAGCAGATGAGTGAAGTGGTTGCCGGAGGGTTCGTGCGAGGGATTGGGCTACGGTAGACCACAACGAGAAGGAGAGAATCGGACCCGCGCAGCGGTATTTGGATCCACAGGGCATCGCAAAAAGCTGCAGGAGTGGCATCAGGGTGGACAATCGAGATTGGCAGGGCTGCATGTAAGTACAAAGCAACCTCACCAACCCTCTCTCGTTTTGAGTCAGCTCGAAAAACAGAGTAGCTCTCTATTGAGATCTGCGCGTCAGAGAAAGCTGTTGTGCGCCAGATCTCTGTGAGTACGATTATGGAGGACTTTTCAAAGCAAGCTGACTAGTTAATATCGCAAAGTTTGTTGAAAAGGCTATGGCAGTATTTGGACAAGCATTTCAACACTGTCTCTCCTGTCTCCGAGGATGAGAAGCCAAGACTTGAGTGGCCAGGGATGTTAGCAGACTTAATGGGTGAACGTAGGGTTTGAGTCCAAGGCTGCAAAGGGCCTCTGGGACATACTTCTATGCTTCCTGCCTTGGTGGATTCTAGGGTTGCCTTTCATTTGCGGGTTTTTTCGCCCCGTGGGAGCCCAGTTGGCTCGGACCCTTTTGCTTTGGGGAACGGGGTTTTTGCACATGGGCGAAAACTGCGACTGTTGCTACTTGTGAAAGGTAGAAGGCCTTCGCTGCAGAGTTATTTATTCGGAAATGCCGACTGACCAGTTACAGACCATTGAATAGGGGAGCAAAACTCTAATCTGCATCTTAGTTACAAAAACTGGGCACAGATCTTCTCCCGAACGAGTCTTCCTAGAGATTCGTTGCCTCCACTCATTCGACGGTCAAATCCAAGCAAACGTTACAAAGTGACCCCACGAATTCCGCAACGGAATTCCCTTTTTCAGTCGACGCAAAGCGAAATTCTACTAACAACACATACTACTCGCGTGCCTCCTGATCAGTAGTATCACCGTTACGCTTGTAGCTCTTTCAGCACCACCAGATTTGCCGTTGATCAAAGATTTGTGACAATCTTTCGTCTTCCTGGTTTCTTGGGCGTTTTGACGCGACCGTATCTTCTTGTCTACTCGTTCCATCGACTGCAAATGCGACAGCCCCGACTGACCTCAACTACATCCATGGCATTCATTCCAGCCTGTTGAACTACTCGTTCGAATTCAACCGCCTCTGTGTCCCCATCCAACCTATCCCCTGCACCTGACTTCCCTACAACAGTGCAAACAGTGAGTTTGATTGTTCTCAGATTTCACCATATTTTTGGGACTAAACTTGCCATGTTCCTCCAATTCGGATTATTCCACCTTCACCTTTACCTTTGTTCGTTGTGACTCCGGCCATTTACCCAACCGTCCAAGGTCACTCGTGGCCAGCAGTGGTTTTGCAGTTTTAGTTCATGTTAGCTGACTAAGTCTTTGAATTGATCGGACCTCATGCCCATTGTTCCCTGCAAGTTGCGAGAGAAACCTATTATTATTTCATCGAAAAATTCCCACTGTCTATGACATTATTTTAATGTTTATTTTCCAACTTGTGGGTGGCATACCTTCGGGCATGATCATGCGTTTACAGTCGGAATAGGGCATGTGACTGGGGGATTTGCGGCTAGTGGGGATTCCGCGAAATGGGGGCAACGTTATGAACGGTGAGGAGTATTCGATGAAATAATGATAACAGGTCTCTTTCGCAACTTGTAGGGAACAATGGGCGTGAGGTCCGACTAATTCAAAAACTCAATCAGTTGACATGAACTAAAACTGGAAAACCACTGCTGGCCACGAGTGACCTTGGGCGGTTGGGTAAATGGCCGGAGTCACAACGAGATAAAGTGGAAGTGGAGATGCGATAATTCGAATTGGGAGAACATGGCAAGTTTAGTCTCAAAATTATGGTGTAATCTGAGAACAAGCAAACTCACTGTTTGCACTGTTGTAGGAAAGTTAAGTGCTGGGGTTGGGTTGGATGAGGACACAGAGGCTTTTGGATTCGAACGAGAAGTCCAACAGGTTGGAATGAATGTCGTGGTGGTGGTTGGGGTCAATGAATCGCATAGGCAAGTAGGCTCGTTTGGGAGGAGGAATGGAACAGTTGCGGGTGTGCTATCAAACTGAGTATGGCAGTGCCGTGCCATCATTGGCCTGTCATGTTTCAGTTTTTGGACAGCCCCGTGATGGACGTCGCATTTGAGATCATTCAGCTGGGGGTGTGCACCCCATTGAGCAGTGGCATTCATTTCAGCCTGGTCGAGGGATCAAGCTGGAACGGAACCAATATGGGATTGTAAGTTTTCTTCGTCCGCCTGGTGATCCAGGATTTGTAGATCATAGGCCAGGTGGAGTGGGTATCAGCTAGCCAGGTCGTCTAAAACGGGTACTTCCGAAGTTCAAAGCTTGGGAAGATGATGGGATGGGAGGAACTTTGCAAAACCTGGTGAATTTGTGGGGATATAAAATGGGCTAATTTGCATTAACAAACACAGGGGAAAAACTTGACGCCTGCTGCAATAAGGGTGATGGCAAGTGATTACATGGTGTAGGAAATAGATAAATTTGTACTTAGGAGGCTAGCGACCAAGGGTTGAGTTTGCTAACATACGATATTACATTGCAAGTGGTCTAGTAAAAGCCGATAAAAGCGCGTAGATGTGTGTTATTGGAATCAGATGCATAAAGGCTGGCGGGAGTGGACTCCTAAAATAGCCGGCTGATCTGGTGTCAATTACATGAGTTGGGTTGTACCAGGGGAGAACGTGTTTGCAAGAGAAATAGTCACTAGTCCCCGAAGCACTGCTATCAGCTCTAATCTGTAGATGGTTCATAGCAAGTATCTACCGCTAGTCAGTGTCTGTCACTGGGAGCGGTGAGTAGATGTATTCTCTGTCTGGATGACGAAATGGGCTTTGGTGCGGTGTAGAATCTGTTATGACGAAGGCAGATACAGCTATGCTCGCCGATGTAGGCCATGGGCACTTTCAGAGTATCTTTGGGCTATCCCAAGTGAAATTTTTTCAATGTTTTTTTTCACAGATGAGGGGCCATTTTATTCATCTGTGG